CTTACTCTTGTATATGGGGGGGGAGGGGTGCATGTGCAACAGAGCTCACCCAGGTGGTGCAGTGCACGTGCAGTCTGCAGCTGCCCCCATGATGCTCTGCATGGGGCTGAGCCCTGTCCACTCCCACCTGGAGACACCAGCGCAGCACAGTGCTCCCACCCATGCCCCAGCCAGCATGTGCAGCTTCCCCAGCAGGGCTGCTCCTGGTGGGGCTGCAGCCACCTGGGTACTGCTTGGCTCCCCCCACCATCTCCAGTGGCTCCTCCTCCTACGCCACTTCGGGCATAGGGAAAGCTGCAGCTGGGAGGCTTTCCCAGTACAACAGGGCTCCAGCACCACCTCCAGCCACCTTCCACCCATTCAGCTGCTCATTGCGCCGAGTGGGGAGATAAGAATTTTTCCCCTTAAAGCTGTCTATAGAAAAGTCAGGCTGCATAATACACTCAGGGACATGGTACATACAAGAATATACAGTGTTAGCGTTTTAGAGTTCCTCAGAATGGTCATTTCCCCTTCAGTGTGCTAAATTTGCATTACAGCAGCTTTGTACCCGTTCAAGAACGCCAGAAAATTATTGGACCCATTCTAGTTCCTCTTTTCCTATCGTCAGTCGAATGCACAAGGACAACAGCAAGCACTGCAAAATTCAGATTTAGAAGTGGCTTTAGGTTTTAGTGAATTAAAAGGTGTTAGTTTTTTTTAGATACTTTTCCTGGGGTCCTGTTTTGACAAGCATTCTTCACTACAGTTCACAGTGTTACTGTACATTTCATTGTGAGGGCCCTCAGATGCTGCATGGCTATTTTAGGGTTATTTTTTTTCCCCAATTAAAAAACAAAACTGTGAGAACAGAAGTTCCTTTGTTATTAGTGGGATGAGCTGAATGGAAGCCATAGCATTTTACAATTATTTAATGCTTGTACTACTGTAATCTTCCAGGCTAAATATTATCCCCAAGCACAGACAGGAACAAGAGAAGGGGAAGCACTCGAGTACAGCTCAACTTACAAGGTTTGGAATGGAGCTGGTCAGTAGCCCTGTTAAAACAAAGTGGCAGATGGCAAAAGCCAAAACTTTGTGAGGACATCTATCCCAGGTTAAATGTAACCTGATGTAGAAAGAGAAAGGCTTTTGTTAGTTGGTTGACTGAGTCTTGTTTCAGTTCCTTTTTGTGGTTTTTTGGGTTTGTTTTTTTTTTTGGGGGGGGGGGGGGGCGAAGGTTGGTTGGTTGGTTGATGTAGCAGCAGGAAAACCTAGGGCATTTTTACACATGTAAGTGCCGCAGCTCCGCGCACTTTGAAAAGCACCACTGAGAAAATGGTGGCAGCACGCTTTTGAACTAACACACCTACGAGGTGTGTTAGTTCAAAAGCGCGCTGACATGCATTTCACCACTTACACAACTGCGCACAGTGCAGCGCAATTCACCTCCACTCGTGCATGGAGCAGACTCAATTAATCAAGTCTGCTCCGATGCAGCGGATCTCCGGTGCGTCATGGGGGGGAAAAAAGAAAAAAGTGTGTATAAACGCCCCTAGGTTTTGAACTCCTTCAGCTCCTACTGAAAATCACTTGACATTCCTAGCATTATCCCTCCCATATCAGGATAGTCTAGAATTTAAAAAGAGACATTTATATCAAATGAATGTTCAGGTAAAAAAAAAAAAAAATTAGCTGACAGTCACTGAGTTTGCCTAGATTAGGGTAGAAGTTGTATTTTTTTTTTTTTTTTTAAATGTGGCAGCACTTATGCTCTTCCCATGATCCTATTTTTTTTTCTGCTAAAACAATTCAGAAGTAAATAACATCAATATTAAAACCCTTTCAGAGCATTAAAACTCTACAGTGAACAGGACCACAGCCTTCTCCAAGGTCCAGTCTGTATGTACGAGTTTACTACGCACAACAATGAACCGTTCCACATCCACTAGGCCCTTCCCAATTTAAGAGCCAGCAAGTATAGTACAACACAGGGTACTGGAGATCACAAGCCCCCTGGTTTTATTGTCTGAAACTCACCCCTTGAGCATCTCCACCCCAAAGATGCCAGCGCTGAGCATAACAACACTGTGCAGCAGACAAAATTGAGCTCAGAGGATGGAAACAACCAGAGGATATAGGCCACGAAAGGAAAAAAAACAGTACTGCCAGTCTTGGAATGCAATTCAACAGATAGCAGACGTGGTGTTGTACCTAATGAGATTAAGACCAGAAACCACCTATCACACTTCACCCTTAGGTAACTGCAACAGTATTAGTTTTCCTCTGCATATGTATGCATGCATGCACGTGCACACAAATTTCTCCCCTCTAAAGCTAATGCTGATGCAAACAGATTAAAGAGTAGCCAGAGAGGGCTACTGCTGACTGACTGTGATAAAATGCTTTCATCAGCTAGAAGACTGGGTCTTAAAATAACATGTCGCTTCCAGTAAAACTATAAAGCAATTACAACTAAAAACCAGCACACAGCTTCACAACACTTTAATCACACCACTTCCAATTAGTTAATAACACTGCCCCTCCAAAATAATGCTGATCCAGATGCCTGTTATTTAAAAGCCCCCCCAAGTAGTATCTGTTAATGCAATGACAATGTATAGCTGCAATTTAGAGCATACCCGTCTCTAAACCCTCTCTCCTGGCAATTTTTTTTTTTTAACCCCTGCAACCAGTATGCCACCCGTTCTCATATTTTACACGCAATGTTATTACAAAAAAAAAATCCCTTCTTGTAAGAAAATGAATATTGCTAACATCAGTTCATGTAATCACACACAAAACTCGAATGTTGTAGTGTTACCATTTTTGTTCTTCTTCACGTAAAATCTATACTACAGCCTTAACCACAGGTCTAATATACATACATACATACATACAGTTTAAGAGCCACAGTGCATAGAAACAAAAAAAACCCCAAAACCCCAAAACTAAAACAAAGCAAAACAAAAAACAGACAGCAATATTTATTAAGGTATTTAACTCTTCAAGGAAGGAAACCGCAGACAGGAAAAAACGAACAACCCATGTCACAACAGAAAATTCTTTAACTCTCAAAATCACTCACATCTATGCCTAATTTTAAAGAACTTAATCAAGTCATGGGAGCTGCCATTAACATAAATGGCTTCGGGATTTCAAGTCCGGTTTACAGTAAAATAAAAAATAAAATAAAAAAACCCAAAACCTGTGGAGCCGTGCTAGATGAACGTCCCTCGATGATTACCATATAACAGGCTAGTCTCTGCTTGGAAGGGGAAAGAAGTTGGGGGGGCAAAAGGATAAAAAACAGAAAGAGAAGAGCCAGTAACTTGGAATTTTGATTCTGTGCCCAGAACATCAGTTTCTAAAAATAAGACAAAATTCCCTTCTATCATTTCAGTCGAGGAAGGCGGAAGGGCAGAACAGAGCAGCTATACAAGTCTAGCAGGATGAATTTACAGAGCTCCTTTTGTAAAGGATGTATTCGAAAAGATAAGACAAAGGGACGCGATGCATGTCAGACATTTCAAATCATAACGGAAGGTTTAAAATAACCTGCAGTGACCTGCACAAATCACGTTATTTATGTTCTTTTGTTCATTCTGGAACTCAAATCCTCTTAAATAAAAGGACCATCTCATTCAAGTATGTTCATTAACCCACTAAACATGGGCCAGGAGCAGAGAAGCTAGAGTCTGAATTTTTTCTCTTCCCCTCCCCCAGCACTCCCCCTTCTTTTTTTTGAAGAAGGGGGCCACAAGTAAGGACCACAGTGTTTCACGGTCCTAAAACAAGTTTTTCAGCCTGGGCTCTGTCTCCAATTTGGTTTCTTTTCTGCAGTGTACAAAAGACAACAGCTCTATCAGAGCTGGCCTGATGTCTGACCTGCATGAGCTACATGGTTTGTTTTTAAGTTAGTATATTGCAACAATTTACACTAATACCATAAAACCTGGATCTCCAGATTTGTTATACTATTTGGCACTCATTTCAACTGTTACTAGTCCACTCAGAAGAAGTGTGGCTTAGATAACACATCACTAATGAACTCTCACACTAGTGATGCAGTATTATCAGGGAGTTAAATGTGTGTGTTTAACTCGTATACCAGTTAAACATATATTTTATGTATATAAATATAAATTTTTTTTTTATATATCATGGATGTATTAGGATCAAACAAAAACAAAATGCTCAAACCAGAAGCTACTGAAAGCTATTCATTGAATGGCCATACATTTGTTTTGGGAAAGCTTGTCAACAATAAAACCTTCCTGGACACAGTAGCCACAAGAAATACCCAACTCCTGCAGGGACATTCAAAGTCCTTCGGCATAGATAGGCAAGCTTTTACTCTCCCACTGACCCATGACCATCAGCTGCAATCATTTGACTTGTCTAGTCATAGAAAAAGCTTGCAATTACCCTATATGAACTTCATTCCCTTTCAAAGGGAACTAATTTTGGCCATTAATGGGCAGACAGAAAAAAGGGGGGCTGGGAGGAACAATATGGGAAATTTGTTCCAGAAATAAAGTACAGAAAACTGCCACAAATGTCTACCAACCCCAAGCTTCAGAATACAGGCCAGATTTTCAGCCGATATAAAAACTGGTCCAGCTTTGCTGTCTTGCACCAATTTTCATCAGCTGATGATCTAGATGTACATCTCTTCTAAAGCTACTTAGAGGGCAAAGTGTCAGTGGGAGAAGAGACAGATTTCAGTAAATCCAGAGTTAAAATATTCTTCACCAACATGCAATTCAGACAGCAATTAAGAAATATTCAAATGATTTATGTCACCCATATTGTAGATTATAGGTTTCCATCTTTAAAAAAAAATGGTTCCAATCTCTTCTCGTTTGCTACGTTTTCAAAGCAAAAGCCTATCTAACAGATGTCTAACAGATCTGCTTGTCAGTTGTAACAAGTTGGGCTTATCTTTTTTTTTATTACCACAAATGGTATAAAACCGCACACAGCATTCTGTTAAACTAAATATTGACACATCTGCTTACCACGTGTGTTAGTAGCCATGTCAGCCACTTTCTGAAAGGCATCCAAGAAGGCAGCAGCTGCTACTACTGTAGTCCTGAAATGCATACAGATAACAAAACATTAGCAATGTCTCATTGCTGCCTATTTAATTGTTGCCAAAAACACATTCAAGCTTATAAAAAAAAGCAAAAAAGAAAAAAAAGCTAGCATGAACTTGCAGAGGCAACAGTATAACAAAAAGACCCCCTATTTTATGTTTGATTTTAGCCCACTCCCTCCATAATTTGTTAATCTCTTCCTTGCTTTGTGCTGGCACTATGGACCATGCTCCAACCATGCTAATGCCATGCTGAGAATTGCACAGAACAGGTGCTATTTCAAAAGGATGCAGCCAGCCCCTTCTAGCTGATTTCATCTGATGAACTAATATTAAGCAGTCAAACATGAAAAAGAATCTAAACAAATTACACTACGCTAATTAAACTACAAATTAAAAGACACTGCTATTTCCAGGAGACACTTCTACATTTTTAGGATAAATGCCCAGATTAAGGAGCGATAACCTCTTTGCAAACCCAGCCCAATCCCCTCCTGAAACAGGTCATTTCTGAGGTCTCATTTGCAGAGCATCTGCTTCCCCTGCAAGAGGAAGGGATCTCTTCCAAGATTTTTCTTCACACCGTCTGGCAGTTTAGGGACTAATGAGAAACTACTCTTACTTCCTCTCTGGTTCCCTAGCCAGGACCAACTGTTTTGTCATTTTCCCCCTCATAGGCAGACCAGCACTGAATCAGAATTGGCAGTCTTGGTTACTGGATATACCCTCATCTTTATCCCTGAAGTTCAAGCAGCCTTAATAGCCACACAAGCATGTGTGCATACACATATTCTGGTATAGCAACCAAGTAGCACCTACTAAAGAAAGCACAGGTGCCTGTACAGCTCGAGAAGGGACAAAGCCATTACAAGCAAAAAACCCCAAAAAACAAAAAACAACTCCCCCCACCCCCCAAAAACCCACAAAAAAACCCCAAAACCCCCAGCAAACACACAACTGCCTGGTACTGGTGACAGCAACACCACAAGTAAATTCCACATCTTTCCCAAGAGACAAGGTGATGAACTTGCAAGAGTTAGTGGTAGCAGATCCTAGCAAGACTAATCAAATCTCATCCCATCATGTAACAAGACCCCAATGAAGAGGGCTCACTAGCCATTGCCAGCCTCTGAGGATACATACACCAAGAGGCAGCAGTGTGAGGACATGTCTGCAGCACCTGTGAGATGGGAGGTTTCCTCCTTGGCTACAGAGCTGCTCCCTTGTTTTGTCCAGGAAATTAACTCAATTGGGTTCTCTGGTTTAAAGGACAAAAGACGACCTACCCTTCATGCATGCTTCAAACCTGAGCATTATATCCATTTATTCAGAAAGTCTTAGAGCAGGGGTGGGCAAAATACAGCTCGTGAGGCCATTCTATCCAGCCTGCAAGGCCCCTAAAAAGTTTAGAAAATTAATTTGTCTGTCTTTGGTTCCTGTCAAAAATGCACTATAGCCACTCGCAGCCTGCGTGGGGCTGCTTGTGCCTCCTCAGGACAGCCCCGCGTGGGCTGCAAGCGGTTGCAGCAGGGAGCACAGTCACAAGGCAGGCAAGGGGCCCCTTCTCCCTGCGCTCAGCACCAGCTCCTGCCCTGCTGGGGAGCAGTGGGTTGGGGCTGCACACGGGGCTGGGGGCACTGGGAGTGAGCAGGTGCATGAGGCCCACACCAGTGTCCTGGGGCCAGCGCCAGCAGGGCGCAGAGCAGGGTGGCAGGAGTGCAGGGTCCCAGCTGGCACGGGCTTTATCGAGCTGGCCCAGCTCCCCCTTCTCCCTGCTGGTGCAGCCCAGCCCAACTCCACAGACCCCTGCCAGCCTGCACCCCACCGGTGCTGGCCCTGAGACACTGGTCCCAAGACACTGGGACATTGGTCCCAAGATGGTGACCAGGGGGTGGGGCTACCCATGAGGCCCTTGACAGCTTGCCAAAACCTGGTAAGCTGCCCTCCACCCAAAGTAATTACCTGCCCGTGTCTTAGAGGCTATGGGCCTGGACTCTTACTCTCAAAAAAGATGTATAGATTCCAATATCTAAATTCGGTTGTTCTAAATAAGTAGTTCTTAAGGGACCTACACACCCCAGGTGTGCGCCAAAGCTTTCCTCCTTCTGGTTTAGTGTCTGGGTATCCTGATTTAAATGAAACTAGGTCAGGACTTCAGGGATAAGACAGGAACTGGGGAAGAGCAGTACTTCATCCTGATGGATTATCCCTATATCCCCAGGTAGATCTTGCATTCCTCCAGTGCACTAAGTTCTCTAGGTGTTTTGGGGAGGCAGGAAGATTGAAATGAGACCCAAACAGCCAAAGGCCCTTAAAGAGGAAAAGCATCCATTACATTTTTGTCCTCAAGGGTTTCATTTCTCATTCCAGTCCAAGGGTGAATATGTCCTCCTAGCTACCCCCCAAAAAAGCAAGATACATTAGCAGAGAGCTGCAGGGAACTCAACCAGAGGCCACAAGGCCTGGGAGTGCTAAGAAAGGAGCTTTCCAGAGGAAGTTAAACATGTACAAGCAAGTTAGATTTTCCTGAACGTCTATTCCAGGTCTACCCTCAAATTACACCAAACAAAGTAGTCATATACAGCTGGACTACACCATTTAGGACTTTTCTCCTGCTTTCTCAAAGACAGGGTTTGAGAGAAGTGAGGATCTCAAACAGAAAGGATGAGGACTGAGCACTGCTACTTGCATATCACTCCAGGGCTGGCGGGGGAGAACAAGTAATCAAGAACTGTAGTTTCCTTTAGCTAACTGCCAATGTTCATCCACGGTTTTAGGTACTCTTTTCACATCCAGATTGTACTCTTAGATTCTTTCAAGTTGATGGGTTAAATTTTAAATCTCCAGATTAGAATCTCCTTAGAAACACCTCTGACAGGAAACTACCAGAGAACCTCCCCTCAGCTAAAATGATAAATGCTCTCCCTTATCAGAGGTAGGGGACAGGAAATGAAACGAAGACATAAGACTGATGTTTCCCAGAAGAAACCAGCAAATTCTTAGATGCTAAAGCTGCCCGTGGACAGACAGCCAAGACGCACACAGGCCAGCAGCACTGAGAGGCATGGATTTACAGAAGCAGGAATATATTCTACCAAATAATTAGTTGTGCTGGAACTCGATTTCTCGGGAAACAAAAGTCAGTGTCCTGTCCCAAAGGAAGTTGCTGAAAATGTTCCTCAGTGCCCCAAGTCTTCAATTATGGTAACTGAGGCCTGGGTCCAAAAGCTCCTGTTCAAGGACATTTCTGCCTTGAGCTGCTAAGCATCAGACAGGTCAGGAACAGAGCAGGGGGGAGCAGTCCGAGTTTGGAGCTGCTGCCTGAAGTCCCCACTCTCTCTGAAGAGGAATTTCACAGCAAGAACCTGCAACACCAACCCACATCATACCAGGACAGCCAACGCTACCCCAGAGGAAGAAAGGGTGGATGGACACAAGTCTGGCTGGGTAAAGACAGCCAGGAACTGGAGACCCATTTGGATTGGGACCTCCATCAAGAAGAAAGGAAAAGGGCAAACTCGCCCATTTATCCCGAACTGGTGACTACCAAGGTTCACAAACTGCTTTAAAAAAAAACAAGACAGAGGTTGTTTCTGGAGGTAGAGCTTAAGACCTTCCTGTTTGATGCACAACAACTTGTTAACTGCTTAAACCTTCAAATACATAAGTGCCCCAGGATTTAATTTATCTTTCTGCTCTCCCATTTCTCCCTGTAACATCTCCTTTATACAGCCCCCTTACACTTCACTACATGCTGTTTTCTCCCAACATGTGGCCACACCAGTCATCCCAGGCTAAGAGGCTGCTGGACCAGGAAGACTGTGAAAGCCGAGAGATGAGGGTATGGAGGAGCTCTTGGGGATGATCAAGTAGGACTAGCTCCTCCTCAAGCTATCAATAGAGTTCCATTTTCTAGAACCCTGTTCAGGAAGGGATTTCTGGAAAACTGGAAAAGTTGGCTGGAAAGCATGTAAAGTTTTGGCTCTATAAAGCACCAGCCTCTCACACTTAAAATCCACAACAGAATCCAACAACGACTTGTTTTTTTTCCAAGTGCCACTTCAGCACATCAGGGCAAGAAAATATTTCTGCAACTTCAGAACCCTCAACATGCAAGAAGTGTCCTGATGGCATGGACTGCCATCAAGTAGGGGTGTCGTCTCCTTTTAGAGGAATGAAGACCCTGAGCAGGGAAGAGTTGTGAGCATGGGCATACAAGCAGGCTCAAGTCGGCTCCAACCCAGTGGTTCTCAGCCTGTTTGCCACAAGGGGCCATACTTGCAGCTCTCAATGTTACCTGGGCCGCACCCACACAACTTACTTCCCGTGTAGCCATTTAACAGGATGTCCCAGGGGCTGCAACAGTGTCCCGATTGGGCTGCATGAGGCACGCAGGCTGAGAACCAGACTGCTCTAACCCAATACTTGTGGTACACTGCAAATACGTTATAACAGTTGTTGACTGAGAGGAAAGGGAGTGACAGGGAGATGAGAGAATTGAAAGCAAGTTTTTTAGAAGCAGGCAACTACAAAATCTAATGGAAGGGAGGTTCCTCTTTTTCTCCTTTTACTTTTTCCAAGATGTGACATACCCTCAAAGGACACCCACTGGGATGGGAATGCATAGAGAAGGAAAGCACACGTGCAGAAAGCCAGTCACATCCAGGTGTTGTTTTACTTTTGCCATGACAAGAACAATGTATATTCCCATAATCTAAGAAATATGGTTCAGGTTTTGCTTGCTTAGATAGGGGGAAAAAACAGGACTGCATGCAAGTAAAAATATGGACCAACTCACTCAATTCTACAGTTAACAGAACTGAAGCAGGATGTAATAAAATGTTGTGAGAGCATCTTTTAATGGAAGCCATACTTACTTTTTTAGAAACCCACTCCTAAAGTGAAGCCTAACAGCATACAGTTCAATAACTTCTAGAAAATGATCCAGGACTGGAATTCCCATGGCAGAAAATGCTTTTCTCTTCATTTTTAAGAGTTACCACAGATATTGCCCAGTGTTTTAGAGTACACTGGGCATAGGGATATGCAATTCAATTTGAATGGCCTATGCCCATATGAATGATACTGTGTCTGCTGTGGTTCCCCTGCTTTACCTGTGGCAGGTTAGAGTGGTAGGTATGTGTGGTGTCAGGGTTGACAGCAGTCTATGTAGAGCTTAGATTATGGTTTCTATAGGATGGTTTGGATAGGGACGATCCTGCTTCAGGCAGGAGGTAGAACTAGATGACCTATGAAGGTCCCTACTGGGATCCCCTACTTCTTGGATCCCATGATTCTATGACTTTGACCCCAGAGTTATTAAAACATGCTAAATAAGTTATTGTGGTGGAAACATTCAATTTCCCCCCTTCATCCCAGTGCATTTACACGCATATATACGAGGCGTGCAAGGGGTCTGGAGTGACTGAATGAAGCTTACCTCAGCTGAGACTGCAGCTTCCCCGCTTTATTTATAAAGTCTTCCCAAGCTGGGTAGCTTCCCTGCAAGAAAAGAAAGGAAACAACAACAAATGTCATTTTGGACATTCAAAGTTCACGTGATAATATGACTGACTACAACAATAAATGTAGTCAGTTTCTGCTAATTAAGCCTTGAACACATTTTTCTAACAATTTATCTGCCACCCTGTTTAAACAAACACATGAACCTAAAAACAAGACTAAAACTTTGGTTGGTCCTCAATTTATGCAACCCATCCGTTGAACACAAGCAGCAGAGTGAATACTAAATATAGGGGCCAAGAGACCAAGAGTCCATCAGAGACTTTTATGAGCCTAGAAAAGTCAATTAGAACCTGATTTTTAATATTAAAGTGTCTAAAGAACATCTAAAAATCTAGGTCTGAGGTTCAGGGAGACTAAGGTTCTCCATCTGGGAAATGAAGATAGTACTACGTTACCATATTTCACAAGGGTATCACGGACATGAGCAGCATTAAGAGACGATGAGCTGGGATACCGTGTTAATGTGGTTGCATAAATACCTAAAGATAGAAGACAGACTCCCAGTGCCTGTCACTGCACCTATTCCTTGTGGCAAATACCAGGTCCCAGTTCTCCTTTCTAGAGCTTCTCGTGCAATTGTGCCAAGTTACCAGAGGAGACCTCAAAAGTATTATCTCCCAAGGTAACACTAGAAAGCTCAAACCAGAAGAGGAGAAGTACTGGAAGAATGCAGAAGATGGGGCTCTTGCAACAGCTGGTTTTTACCTGTAGCAGTTGTTTCTGGAGTAGTTCATGACTGACCTGGGAAATGACTTCAAACTAGAACTGGGAATGAAAAGGCCAATGATATTTTGGGGCATTTCTGAAGTATATCAAGTCTTCCTTCTCTAAAACTTCCTGTGAACTTTTTATGGCTTCTCAATACAAAAACCTTGACACTTTTTTTTTCTTTTGATGGGGGCTGGGGATGGAGTTATGAAAAAAGCAAAGCATACTAAACAAACAGGGTGTCAGTTTTTAAACTTTTCATACAACCAACAAACAAGTTCAAAGTCTTTGTTTTGACCAAAATGAGCCAATCTACTCCAGAGTACAGGTAACCTCATCTTTTACTCATCTTTCCCTTGTCATCCTTAAAATTCCAATTGTCTGAGGGATAAAAAGCAAGGTTCATTTTAATACATTAGAAGACACACACTTGACCCAAAATATTAGTATGGTTAAACTTAGGTAAGACAGATACCCAAAGCTAAAATTACTACATGCTACAAATGGAGTTGAGGCTAGTAACATCTATTCACCCCAACAGGTGTCAATTGTTTCCGTCAAATTGGACAGGAAAATACTTATTATTTGTATTACCATAATGCCCAGCAGCTCATTCCAGAGCTGTACATCATTAAGACAAAAGACAATAGATGGATACAGAGGAGATAAAATGGGAAAGAACGAGGAAACAACAAAACAATACTGTTTAGAATAATAGCCAGTGGTATTAGCACACCGCTGGACTAACCATTGCCAAGCATCCCCACCCCCACCCAAAAAAAGAAACAACAAACCAATTAGTCTTCAGATAGGGCATTACAACCAGAGGTCACCCCACCCTCTTGCATGAATTCTGTACCAGGACTGCCCTTTCACTTTTCTGCTTATTGACATACATGGCAGCAAATCAAGTTAGGTTAGGTCCCTTACGGTTCTTATCGCCTACAGGCCATCAGATCGTAAGAATAAGAACCACACCCAACTCTCCGTGGAAGCAACAACTCGAGCTCACGCCCTAAGATCCCAAGTGAGAGGATGAGTATCTATCTCAATAAGTCTGACAAGATTTGCACTGCCCAATAAAAACAGAGATCTAATAGAAGAGCTGACTTTTCACCCCAACATTTAAAAAAAAAAAAAAAAAAAAAGAGCCATTTTATTTTTTGTTTGAATCTACAGTATACAAGGAGATGGGTACAAGACTGTAGTAGTCCCCATTCAAAAAAGCTTTGTAAAAATATTCAATTTCATGTATAATTGTAACTCAAGAGTTCCCGAGGACAAAAAAGTTCCAAATATTATTTCAACTCAGCTTATTAAAGGCTCAGAAACTACATTTTTGACAATACTTTGTTTTACATGGTTAGTGAACTGATGGGAATACATTCCCCAGGTTTGAGAAATGTCAGCAGAGAAAGACCCCACCATGAAGCTTACCACACAATGACATTTTCAAAATGTTCAGACACTTGAATCTGAAGGCAAAATCCTGACCCAGTTGAAGTTAACAGTTTTGGCACTAACTTTAAGGAAGATGGGATTTCACTGCAAGAGTTATTTCATGCAGTGCCTTCTAGTCAGCAAGGCCCAATCTTGTTCAAAATGAAAGAAAATGAGTCCGTTTTATAGTTTTCATATCCAGCGTTATATTGGAAACTTTGTTTTGTTCTGTTATAGCTAATGGCTCTGTGTAGTTTGCACTGGTATAACACAGGTTACACAAAAACTTTACCAAACCAAGGCCAGACTACACATCTGAAATGCAAGCATTTGAAAAACCCCAATAAAGTCCTCAGAACTATTTACATACCTAAAAAGTCAGAGACACAGGTAAGCCCTTTACTGAATCCAGGCAGTGTCATCTATAACCCCTGAACAGGCATTTTACTTTTGCCACACAGCATCATATGGAAAAGGGAAGGAAACAACACAACGGGGAAGGAAACTCAGAGCTAAACCAGACTTTTATTGTTAGACCCTTTACCATCTTCTGAACACTAGCAACAACATAAAAACACTTCTTTAAATTTAATGCACTACCCATAAGACAAAGCTGAAGAATCCTTAACTAAAGAAATGGTAGAACATTTATACTGACTTCATCATCAACATCAAACAGCCATGGATGGGGGGGAAAAAAACATGACTCAGGGGCACAATAAGATATACTGCCTCAAAGATGAGCCTTTACAGGTGCATCCAGACAGGCACGGATGTGCAGTATGCAGCACCACTGACCCATCTGCAGTGCCACATACTGCACATGCCACACATGCAGGCACTCCTAGCACTGCTACTTTGTGGCACCAGGAGTTGTTTGACCCCAGGATCTCAAACACATGCACACACACAAACCCACCCTCCCCCACAAAAACCCCACAAAAAACAAACCCACGCCTAAAAAAAGCGAGGCAGCACACATGGTGGCAGTGCACACCACCCAGAACTGGAGCCTGGCCACACTCCAGCTGCAGGATCACTGCAGCAAGGGCTCCCAGAGGCCCTGAGGATGCTACGCAAGGGTGCTGGGGCCAGCACAGTTCCTGGCCCCAGCCTCCCCTTCTCCACCTAGGGCAATGTGCTCCATGGCAAAATGCGCATGGCATTGGTGTTCCCCGGGGACAAGCAGCAGTGGCACACATTGTGCCATTTGGGCCAGGAAACGCACATGTTCCCGCTCATGGGGATGCACTGTAGGGGTGCAACAAGCAGATAATTTAGCTAGACAGAGAGGGGTTGCACAGGAACACTTAAGCTACACAGAAATTTAATTAACAAGAGCAGAGTTAGGTTAACTCAAGCTGCAAACTAATTTGCATCTCCACTGCTTTTCTAACCTGGTCTCCTCTACATCACAAACATCTGCCAGTATTGCTATGCTGTCCTGGGGAAGAGAGAGAGATCATGCCTGGCAGAGAACTTATCAGTGCCAACAAAACCCCTGGTCTATATGAAGCTGTGCTGGCAGGAGGAGGCTTGCATCTAAGTTTCTGCTGTTTCTTGCAATTCCTTCAGTGGACAAAGTTGCAATAAGAGTGGTAACAGAGATGGTTTATGTAGACGAAGGCAGAGTATGAGCAAGCATCACCTAAGCTTCAAACCATACCCCCAGAATGGCTGGATAGCTTGAATTTAAAGCATGACAATGCCAACTAGAGATCTGTACGCTGGGATGGGAGCTAGGTTAGTGGCGCTGCTCGAGTTATACTCCCAGTCTTTTTCAACAGTTGTCCTAGTTTCATATTACCAGTGACTCTTATATGTATATCTGCAGAAAGGCCCAATATTAAAATGTGTAAGAAAGAGGCCCTTCCTCTTATCCCTACAGATGGGTTGTGCAGGTCTAACACATCATATTGAGGAAGCTTGCTAGTGCTCTAGCTGCAACTGTTCCGTGGGTAAAGAGAGAGCTCTTGGTCTGGAACCTGCCAAACATTTATTTTAATAAACTAAGTAAACACATGGCCATGAATATAGGGAAGAATAATTCATAGTGTCTGCATCTAATGAGGAAGAGAAAGTCTTCAATATGAAAAGACCTGGACTATAATGTTGTATCTTAAGCCAGAGCTGTCACCATTTAAAATAGAAGAACCTATTTATTTAATTAATAAATGCCATTTCCTTAAACCTGTTAGTATTACTTCAAACGCCATCTCAGCAGTAGCTGCTGCTGTTTCAGGACATGCCTACATACAGTCCATGCATTATGTATGTGTATGCCAGGCACCTTCCAAGTACTGACAATTAACAGCAGGGCCTAAGGGCCTACCAGGTTCTCAAGCAAAATACAAGCTGACAAGTAAAGATACCAAAGCAGCCTAATTATACTGCCATTTCAATGGCAGTACTGTGCTGTTAACTGCACCTCCATGTTTTCTAGGGACACATACAGTTCAAATATAACTTGAGAAGGAGAAGGCTTTGGTCATCTGGCCAAAATGCATCACAAAGAAATCAAGATCAAAATAGACAACTGACACTTCAACAAAGCTTGTTTCTCATTTTTAAGGATTAGGCCCAGCCAGCACCCAGGTATTGCACCGATTCAATGAAATGGTTCAATTCAATTCAATTCAACTGCCTTAATTATATTTATACAACTACTTTCGGTGAAGGAGTCTTAAACCCAGCCCAAGAATGGCTGATCTTAACTTCAATTCATCACAGCTTTTGGTACCAGAACAGCAGTCAGTCCATTCAGTCGCACTTTAACCCTTTGGGGACTGATCATCTACCAGCTAGCAATAATCTCATTTTCCAGCAGT